CAAAGAGGGCATACCATTGTATGATGATAAGGGCAAACTTTTGTTTGATAAACCTGTGTACTATCAAGAGAGCAAACCAATCTTTGATGACAAGGGTAAATCACTGTACCCTAAGGAAATTCAAGGTCCAGGAAAACCTTTGGAGGATGACAAAGGAAAACCATTGCTGGATAAAAAAGGAAAACCATTGTTTTATAAAGACGGTCAACAAGTGTTTGGCAAACCTTTGTATGATGACAATGGTGAATTGATGTGTGACAAGGATGGAAAGCCACTTTATGGCAAACCAGTGTATGGTGTCCCACTGCAGGATAAAGATAGTAAACCAGTTAAAGATTCTGATGGCAATCCTCTGTATGCCAGGCCACGGCAGGGTCAGCCTGTGTGTGATAAAGACGGAAGGCCATTATTTGATTCAGAAGGGCATCCATTGTACCATGAAGAGGCCACCCCATTCTATGACAAAGATGGTCATCACCTCCATGGGAAACCCATCTTGGACAAAGAAGGCTTACCATTGTATGACAAAGATGGAAAACCAGTTTATGACAAAGAAGGTAACCAGTTTTATGACCCTGATGGCAAACCTTTACTGGACAAGAGTGGCAAACCTCTGTACAGCAAACCTGCATTTGATCAAAATGGCAAACCACTAGAAAACAAAGATGGCAAACCAATGCATGGCAAAGATGTTAGNTTTATGACCCTGATGGCAAACCTTTACTGGACAAGAGTGGCAAACCTCTGTACAGCAAACCTGCATTTGATCAAAATGGCAAACCACTAGAAAACAAAGATGGCAAACCAATGCATGGCAAAGATGTTAGGCCTGTGTACTGGGAGGAGATTTTCAACGAAGATGGTAAACCATTTTATGGTAAAGTATACAGCAAAGATGGAAAGCCTCATCCCCTGGCCATAGAGAGAAGCATCGTACCAGCAACATTTGCTCCTGCAGGAAAGGTCAATATATTTCTCTACTATTCAAGTAGTGCATCATGGTCAAAAACTTTTAGACAGCTTGGTAGACTTCTTAACTTCTAGTTTTAAATTTCCATCTTCAAATGCTTGACACAAATTACTCTCTTTTTGTTAGTATGCAATTTGATGGCAGGCATTAGTAGAAGCTCAGTTAAAATATGACACCCATTAGCCATATTGTAATTTAGTCTCAATTAGTAACACTATTTAAGCTTTTTAACTATAATTCTTTTTTGAACTGCAAGTAAATGCGAGTTGATATTTTATGCTTAATTCCTGAGCTCTTAGGTTTTGTTCCAGAGAAAGTCATTTAAGATACTATTTGGACATGATAAATGTTTTTTTTATATATTGTATATTTATAAAAAGCTGCTTATTAACTTTACTTGTGGGATTTCCTTTGGAAAATTGCTTTTTATTTTTCTTATGCATTTTAAAGTACTATGGTTTGTAAATGAAGTTAAATTAATCGATTAATAGGAAATACTTCCTGTGCTTGATGATATTATCTTTTTTTTTTTTTCATTCACCTGTATTCTTTATTCAGGTCTATGAAAACAGGTTATGACTTTGTCTAAAAAAAATATATTTACGGTCAATAATTGCACTGCTACATGTAATTTGTGTTTCTGGTTCAAAAGTCCTGTTATTGAAATTAAAACTGGCTTTAGTTGTTTTGTTTTTTTTTAGGAAAAACACATGAATATTTAAAGTAAAATGAGAATTCACAACTAATTTTAAAGTTATGACATGATTATCTCCCCTGCTTGATTCTTTCTGTTCTAGATTCAGACATTTTTCTTATTGTCTTCTAGACCCTTCATTAGGAACAAAGCAAATGCTTTGATAGCTCTCTTTCTATCTTGTTTGGTTTCACAGAGCTTAAAAAAAATAAGTTTATTTGATAACATTGCACCTTCTTGGTCTCATAAAACAAAATCTTAAATGGTTTAAAAAACTATGATGAATATATGCAGTCACATAGCAGCTAGTGACTTAACAGCAACGTGCTACCTATGACTACTATGGGTCTGTAGAACTTGATCATATGTGCTTTATTAACAGAACCACCTTTCATAAATAAATGTACATTCACAAAGTTATTGTGAGCAAATCATATACTACAGCTTTCCTTATAAATGAACACATGTAAGTATCACTTGAAATAATATAATTTTTTTTATTGGTATCACTGATTACGACGAACCATTGTCACAGAAAATAATTTTTTTTTTCTCACTTTACTAAACAGCTACAAATCAGCATTGAATGACATTTTGAAAACAAAAGTCATTTGTCAGAACACAATCATTTTGAACTGCACTAAATTCTTGCCACTTACTACACTTTCTATAAGCAATCATTTAATGCTAAATCTGTTTCTTTCTTGTTTGCAAGTAGGTATTGCTACTATATGTTTAAAAAATTAGTATCTTTTTTCACCCAAGTTAAAAATATTGGTCTCAGCTTTGTCACTTAGTAAATAATTTTAAAAATATTCAGCAGAGATATCCTTCTCCAGCTTTAGAGATGGCCTATTGATTGAAAAAAAATTATATGTTTATTCCTGACATGATGTGCATTATCTTCATAAACTTTTACAATTCTATTTTCATAGATATTTAAATAAGCATTTTTTTCTGGCATTTAAAGAAAAATGACGTAATTGTGCATGCAAAATGTTAATTGCTTTAATTTCATCAAATTTCTTTTTAATACTGAGGAAAATTATTCATAAAATGTTAATTTAAATGTGTATAGTGATATATTATATTTAATAAAAGTGTTGTCAGAAATCCTGATACAGAAATATTCACTATAATCATGCAACTAAAGTCATTTTTTCATTCTCAAAGCTTTCTATTTTCAAATTTAAGGTGCTAAAGGAAATGTGGCTAATTATTTCAATAAAAAGTATGTTTTCCTATTTTAGGATAAAGATGTCAAAGAGGGCATACCATTGTATGATGATAAGGGCAAACTTTTGTTTGATAAACCTGTGTACTATCAAGAGAGCAAACCAATCTTTGATGACAAGGGTAAATCACTGTACCCTAAGGAAATTCAAGGTCCAGGAAAACCTTTGGAGGATGACAAAGGAAAACCATTGCTGGATAAAAAAGGAAAACCATTGTTTTATAAAGACGGTCAACAAGTGTTTGGCAAACCTTTGTATGATGACAATGGTGAATTGATGTGTGACAAGGATGGAAAGCCACTTTATGGCAAACCAGTGTATGGTGTCCCACTGCAGGATAAAGATGGTAAACCAGTTAAAGATTCTGATGGCAATCCTCTGTATGCCAGGCCACGGCAGGGTCAGCCTGTGTGTGATAAAGACGGAAGGCCATTATTTGATTCAGAAGGGCATCCATTGTACCATGAAGAGGCCACCCCATTCTATGACAAAGATGGTCATCACCTCCATGGGAAACCCATCTTGGACAAAGAAGGCTTACCATTGTATGACAAAGATGGAAAACCAGTTTATGACAAAGAAGGTAACCAGTTTTATGACCCTGATGGCAAACCTTTACTGGACAAGAGTGGCAAACCTCTGTACAGCAAACCTGCATTTGATCAAAATGGCAAACCACTAGAAAACAAAGATGGCAAACCAATGCATGGCAAAGATGTTAGACCTGTGTACTGGGAGGAGATTTTCAACGAAGATGGTAAACCATTTTATGGTAAAGTATACAGCAAAGATGGAAAACCACATCCCCTGGCGATAGAAAGAAGCATTGTACCAGCAACATTTGCTCCTGCAGGAAAGGTCAATATATTTCTCTACTATTCAAGTAGTGCATCATGGTCAAAAACTTTTAGACAGCTTGGTAGA